TTGTAAGTTTACTGTGGTGGTTTTTAAAAGAGCATAGAGTAGTTTACCAGTCTTATAACTACCCTAAACCCACAAGCGTGACCTTTAAAAATTGGGAGTGGCATAGATTTCTAGCCAATGTGCACATTAATTTGTATTCAGAAAACAATTTACAACAGGGTCACATCCAGTTAATGTCCTGTTATTTGACCTGGAGTAGCATTCACTATTGCCGATAACCAGAAGCCTATTCAGTGTTTTACAGATGCCATGAAAAGTCCTGATCCTGAAATCACAGGCCTCCCTGTTTTGGCTTTGTGACAGGAGCTTTGCAGATAAAGGGTCAATACTAAGGAACTGGTTGTCCGAATCTCAGTTCATTCCAGTCTGCTGCCAGTAGCTGTTCTCAGATGATTAAGTCCAGTCTTTTTGCTAGATTGTAAGGCTGCAAGATGTTCATTTGCCTTAAAGTCTTAAAGTGCTTAAGGCTTTGTTGAGCTGGTTTTAATACAGCATCTCAGCCTTGCTCAGGGCCTCTGCAGCAATGCTGTTGTCCCCTTCTAAGCAGGTGGGACTGGGACTGGCATTCAGGGTGATAAACAAGCTGGTGTTTGTCGGCTGCTGTCATTGAGGTCTTCCAAGCACGTGGAACAGCACGTGGTTTTGCAGAATCTGCCGGCTTTTCTTTGAACATGCTGGACACAGACCTGCTTGTATTCAGTCAAAGTGAAATTTTGCCTGTTGCTTCCAGAGGAGCAGGGACTGCTATTTGTGGTCAGGCTTGTAGCTTATTTATTCCTCTGTTATACTGTAATTTTTTGTTAGAGCTACGGAGATGGTCTGTTGGTAATGCCTTTTTAAAGTCCAACTTTCTGTGATTCTACAGATGCTTCATGTTAGTTTTCATTATTTTTTTGCAACATACCAAAATTCTGAAATACTCAACAAAAGTCATGTCAGGTATTTGGGGTGTTAACCTCAGGTGTATTTGTGGTGTCATTCATATTGTTTCCTTCTCTTCAACTGTTACTCTATAGCAGGTGATTTAAAAATGCAAGGATTATAATAGGATGTCTTGGGTGCAACAACACTGAACCGGAGCAGTAAGACGTCCTGCAATTAGCGATAATATGCAATCACTGGCTGTGCAGCCGTTTGGATGCAAGTCGTCACCTGCTCCAAAATAGACTTCAGACTTGAGCTTTGCCATGTGAGATGCTCCGTGCACGCCCCATCTCCTGGTCTGTGTGGAGAGCCTGTGACTTCTTGCACATTTCCATGTGGCAGTCCTGATGAGCATGGCTTTTGCCCACCCATTCTGAGGTGACTTCCTCAGTTTCATGGTCGGTATTGCAGTTAGAGAGCAAATGTGAAAAACAGCTTCAAAAGACCGACTTGGAGTGCAATACTGCTCAGAGTTTGTATTTAATCTTTAGTTGTTGGTTTCTGTGGGAGTTACCAAACCAGTTGAGCTACAGCACTGGCACAAAGCCAAGCGAAAAATACAGTTTTCTTCACTGTAAATATGACTGTCAAGCAGTAATGTTTTCTCTCAGCTTCATTTTAAAGGCATTATAATGCAAGAAAATGAAACTAAAACACATTTTTATGCCAGTATTATACATGGAAGAATGTTACTTCTTTTTGCTTTTATTGAAAAGATCATAGAGAATAGGACATAGCAAATTATGTCTTAAATATGTAATAAGTTATCTGTGTTGCTGGATACTTGATGGAGTTGGTAAACCAATACATTTCTTGTTCTGGTGTAGTTATGGTGAGAATGTTTTGATTTTTTTTCTTTGTTGCCTCTGCAAACATGGAAGATATGCGAAGTTCTTTATTTTTAGTCATGTTTTGATAACAGAAGAAAAAAGTAGTGCATGATAAAACTTAATGAATAATAAAAACAAACCACTAATCCCTGTCCACTCCTTAAGGCTTATTTTTAAAAGCTCTTTTCAGCGGCCGATAGCTCTGTTAACTCATCTTCAGGTATTCTGCTGAAGTTGGCCATCCTTACTTTGCTTTTGGGAATTATTTTATTGAATGCGTAAGTTTAGCTTTGCCTTTCTAAGATAAACACAAACTATATGTAATGCTCACAGTGGTTTCACCAGGATGTCGTCTTGTAGGTGTGACTGCACCAAATGGGAAACAACAGCATTTTCACTTTTCAGAATTAAAAGAACTGTCTGCTTGGCCTGTAACTCCCTCTGTTTTATTTTGCAGAATGAGGAAGAAGCTTGTTTAACAAAAATGTGTGATAAGCTGCTACTTTGTAAAATGTTTTTTTGGGTACTAGGAATGGAAGTTGCATGAGGAATGGATGTCAGCATCCGTGTAACTTGATGCGCCAGAAGATGAAAAAATCCTTCAGTTGTGCTTCTTTGAATGAGCTTTTTTAAGAGTTTTTAATAGAAAAGTAAGAGAAAGGGTTGGAAGGGAGTTTTAGAAGGGTCTTCTCATCTGTCCTGTCTCATGGGACAGAATCAATTGCAGTGAAATCTTTGCTGACAGATACTTCTTCCTCTCCCTTCCAACCTCAGATAACAGTGATTGTCGCCTTTCCCTGTGTAATCTGTGCTAATGCATCAGGTAATTAGGAAGTTGTTGTTCGGTATTATTTGGATAGATGAACCACAGAATTTTAAACTAAGCATTATTAGGACTGGCACACTTTTATTTGCATATCTAATCCTTTTATTAAAAAATTGAAACTGCCTCACTTGGTCTGGTTATTTGCAGACATAGAGAAATTAATTGTTGAAAGCATACATACATGCTGTAGGGGAGTTAATGAAATGGTGTCCAGCTTTCTGAAGGAAAACGGTGAAAGTTGCACAAACATCTCGCTCTGTAGATCTCCTGAGCAACGTTGATACTGAAATCAGCTGTTTCGTTGTGTGATGGAAACAACACCAAACTGGTGTTCAGATTTTGTACCTACTGCTCTGCGTGATATGTGCTGCAGTCGTGATGAATTGCGTTAAGGTTTGAAAATGATGTGACCAGCCTAGCCCTAACCCACAACACATGGCCATGGAGCTCTTTGACTGGAGTTTTTGCGCATGAGTGGTAACATAGATGTTTACTATTGCAACATCCCGTGTTTTTCTTAACAAATAAGTTTTTTCTTTTGGATCTTGGGATGAGCCAACCACTCAGAGTTCAAGGTACCGTCCCAGCAAGGAAGTGTTGAAAACAACAGGCTATTGTTGCGTTTGGGCGTGCATCGTCCTGGATCCCGGGCGTCTGTATCCTGCCTCGCAGGCGCTATGAGCTCGGCCACAGCTGCTGGCTCTGGGCAGGCAGCCCCAAGTCCAAGGAAACCATAAAACACTAATGTCACCAGCAACGGTCTCGGGGCAGCAGCAGGTCTGCTGTTGAGGAGGGTTTTCTTTAAAAGTGCGTTTTAAGGAGTTTGTAGAAGAGTCATGAGTTGGTTCTGTGCATCATTGTGGGGAAGTTTTGTGCACCACGATAGGAGGAGTAGGAAGCTTTGAAAACTTCCCGGAAGGCTGTGGCATGGCACGATCATAGAATCACAGAATGGCCTAGGCTGGAAGGGACCGTAGAGATCATCTAATCCAACCTCCCTGTCATGGGCAGGGATGCGATGAGCTGGATTGGAAGTGAACTTTTCAGTAATGGGGAAGAGAGGAGGGGTGAGGTGGAGGCTAGCCTGAAAGGATCCTGAAGCTGCAGAAAAGGTGCTGCATTTAAGGAAAGATAGGGAGAGGAATTGATGACAGGGAAAAAAATAGGGATAGACAGACTTGGGACAGGGCACGGAGTGAAAAGGGTGTTTGCAGTAGTAATCTTAAGTAGGAGTGAGATAGACTTGTATTTACTGCTACCACTAAAAAGAGATGTTGTAATAATCAAGAAACAGGAAGATAAACGTATAGACAAGGGTTTTAGCTGTGTACAGACAGATAAGAAAGACTATATTCGTCAGAAGTTACTCTGAAAAAGGTGTGAACATATAAATTTAGTTAATTTTTTGATTTTTAAGATTATTTTGGTTACGTTTTCCTGTTGTGAAAAGCAGAGTGATAGACTTCCAGGTTTCTTTGTATGTTCAAGAACTTAATTGTCTTGCTTTTTCTTTCCCGTTCTTTCCTCATGCTGTAAGATCGTTTTGCTGGGACAGGAGCAGGATTTTCTGCCTGCTTACAGGTCTGTGCTTCACATTCCAAAGTTGGGAAGGCAACCCACAGAGAATGGCTGGCATCTCTACGAAGAGTGGAATCACGCTAGTGTTGCTGTCTTCTAAGAATACTTAGTCAAGAAAAATAGAGAGGATAGCATTAAAGAAAAAGAATGGGGGAGGAGGAAACAGAAAGGGCAAATCATTAGAGAAATGTTTATAGCAGTGAGAAAGGTGTTACATGAGGCTTAGTGCTTTTTCCTTAACTGGGTAAGTATTTTTAGTGTTTCAGAACTGCACTCAAGGGAAGGGGACAAACCTCTTAGGGAAGTATCAAAGCAGCAAAAGCAAAGGGATCTGACTGGCTTAGGCAGTTCCAAGTGGATTGACTTCATTTCAAGTTGAGGCGCAGCCAGGGTGGGCACTAGGACTCAAAAGCTGAAGAGGGCTCCTGGGCTGCTAATTTTAGGCATTGCCAAGGAGATTTCTTTTGATGACCGAGTGCAGTGGGGAACATGAATTGCAGACTTGCAAGCAATATGTGATTCGTTTAAGCTACAGAACAAACTTCTGAAATGTTTAATCAGCACTGGCCACAGTAACTAGTATGTTTTATGCATGTCTGTATCGAGAGAGATACTGGACATTCTGTCACATATAAAAGCATTCAGTAAAGCAATGAAAATGAGCTTATATGTGTCTTTTGGTCCTTTTTCCAGTGTAATGATGCTGCAAGCAGTACGGTATTTCTTAAGGCCCTGCACTTGTTTCACTTGACAACTTTGAGACGATACTTCCACTTTCTGTAAAGCCAGCGTTACGCCAGCTTTCTGTACTGATCTGGTTCTTGTGCTGCTCATCTTCACAGCCCGGAAGTCCAAAAAGTTGGGGAAATTGAAAGGGATTCACGAGGAGCAGCCACAGCAGCGGCAGCAGCCACCGCCCCAGAGCCCCGAGGAAGGGACGACGTACATCGCGCCCGTGACCGAGCCCTCTGTAAACACAGCACTTGTCCCTCACATGTCTACTATCTCACCAGCACTTACTCCCTCTCCCGTTAAGATCCTTGAAAGCATTGAACCAGAGATCGTGTATGCAGGATACGACAGTTCGAAGCCAGACACAGCAGAGTACCTGCTTTCCACCTTAAACCGCCTGGCCGGCAAGCAGATGATTCAGGTGGTGAAATGGGCAAAGATACTTCCAGGTAGGACCATCAGACATTTGGTGGAATTTCTCTTTGCTGCTCCTTTTAGCTTAATGAACCATTTGCCTGACAAATTGCATCTTTAATCTGTGGGCTGAGTTAAAAACTCTCACAGAGAGGTGTGACATGAGTATCTCAGAGAAGATCATTGGGTTTTTTTATTTATATAATGTTTGTTTCATATATCTATGATCAATATTTTAAAATCTTTCATTTTGAATAATAACTTCTTAAGAAGAAAACATGTTTTGTCACTGGAATGAAAAAATTTTTTTTTTCAGAAGTATACTTTGAGGGAGTGTTGCTCTTGTTCGTTAATACTAGAAAAATAGTGAGCAATGTATTCAGTGCTGGTTTGGCCAACCTTTGTAGAGTACAGTGTAGTTCACGGGTATTTTCTGGTTTGATCTCTAGGATTTAGAAACTTGCCTCTCGAGGACCAAATTACTTTAATTCAGTATTCATGGATGTGTCTGTCATCGTTTGCCTTGAGTTGGAGATCATACAAACATACAAACAGCCAGTTCCTCTATTTCGCTCCAGACCTGATCTTCGATGAGTAAGTATTCCTTAACGGTTCTTCTCAGTGCAGGCTGGAAGAATTAGTCTGTCTTCATTTGGTTTTCAGGCATGCCTGCAGTCTAAGAAAATTTCAGCTAATTCCTGGTCAAGAAGTAGCTTAGGGGTTTTTTCAGTGACTGAGTTTTCAATTGGTGAAGCTTTGATACTGCCATCCACTTCTCTGTATGTTAATGTGGATGTGCTCTCAAACTAGGACCATCCTGCTGGCTTAAACATGACTGATGCACAACTAAGGTTTATAGGAAAAAAAACATTTTTTCATGTCTACTGGAGCTTGGAAAAAATATCCAACTTCTAGGAAATGTGAATGTTAAAATTACCATTTTTTTCAGAGCAGTCATAATGGTGCTTTTGTTAACAATATACAGCTGTTCAATGTGTTTTCTTGACAGTCTTAATTACCCTTCTTTGCAACCATGAAATAACCCAAAATGTTTTTTCAGTAATGAAACATAACTTATTTTATGATGCATTCAGACAAAAAGAAGGATCAACCAAGGAGCCATTCCTTCTTGAGTATGTGTGTTCCTTCATATTTTAAGTTTGTATGTTAGTGCTTTACTTTTGATGAGTATAATTTAATTTGTGTTCCATTCGGCTAGTGTTTATTCCAAGACAGTAAAATAAAAATCTAAGCGAATACTCAGGCAGTCAGACTGGGGTCATGTCATATGCTTATCCCAGAAGGTTGTTTTGTATTTTTTTCTAGAGGTAAAAATGAGGCATAATCAATAGGGTATGGGTGCTCCTTTTCAGGGAAACCCAAACAAAACACAAACAGGAGAAGAATGAACAAAACCAGTAACTTACAACTCAATCTCCTGAATAGTTCTGAGATATTTTTCTTGGAGAAGATGCGTTGTCGCTGTCCATCTTAATAGTCTTTATTTGATTTAGAAATTCCTAAATAATTAATCTGTATATTATTAGTCCCAAGGCAGTGGGCAATATCAAAGGAGGATCGTTTGGACTGGGTTGTTGGTTTTTTTTTCTTGAAGCGGAGTTAACTGGTGGTTTACTACATGCGGTCAAAAATGTAATGTCAGCCATTTTGCTCAAGCACCTCCACTGTGAGTAGGACGTTAGAGAATTATCAGAGAAAAAGCGTGTGTAGCTAAAGCTAAGTGAAAATGCGAACTTTGAAGAGTTTGGTTCTCCTGGGAAAACGTAGACTGAAAGTTCAAACACAGAATCAGCTTTCCCACATCTGAAGCAAGTCCGTCGGGGGGTCAAAATTTATTGGACAGGGAAATCAATCCCTCCTGCAAATAAAAGCGTTATGTGTGTTGCTGGCATTCTTGATACTGCAGCTAGAAGCAGCTTCCAGAAGTTGAGATCAGTTGCAAGTTTCATGCTGCAAGTCTTTGAAGGTACATGGGTGCCTGCAGAATTATACCGAGGTTGGGATCCAGTCAGGAAAAGGAGTGTAATATCATGGAGTGCAAAATGCATACATCACTGGGCTTGGATGTTTTTAAGGTAGTGGTCTCATCTTCTACATATTTCACAGTGTACTCGTTGCAGAGCTACCGAGGGTAGCAGAGGGCAAGTGTTTTTAAAGAGAATAAAAATAAATTTCCAGGAGCTGTATTGAGGTGCGAGATGTGGGACAGGGGCTTTTGAAGCATCTAGTCAGGGCAAGAAATTTCCTTGGAGGTAGAAGTTTGGCACTTAGTCCAGAATGGTAATAGGCACATCTCTGGAATGAGAGGGTTCTTCTTGCTTTGCTCATGTTTCATACTCAGTAGGAATCGTGGGAGATACTAATTCCAATTCTCTCTGTTGTTGCTCACTTTGGTGGTTGTGGGACCGCATGTGGAGTCCCGAGTTTTTGGCTCGCATGCATGGGAAAGTTGCAGAGAAGCTGCAGAGATCTCTGTGGAGGTTGGCTGAGGTGGTCGAGGGCTGGCTGAGGATAGTGAGAGAGCTGGGCTCATGCAGCGAGGAGAAGATCGTGCCAGGTGCAGTGAAGATTTAGTTGCAACTTTCAGCTTCCTGATGAGTTGTTGTAGAAAAGATGAAGTCAGACTCTTACTGGAGGTGGCCAGTAGGAGGATGAGAGGCTGTGATCACAGGCCTGGGGCAGCATACTGCCTCCTAGGCAGCAGGAGAAGGAATTTCATAATGAGATGGTCAAATAGGAGAGCAGGTTCCCAGACTCTGGAGTCTCTGTCTTTGAAGATTTCCAAGCCTTGACTGAGCAAAGCCCCAAGGAAGCTGCTCCAGCTTTGACATTAGCCCTGTTGCGAGTGGGGAGTTGGACTTGAGACCTTCAGAGGTCCCTCCCAAGCTAAATTATTTTGTGATTCTAGGTTAGGAGGTGCAGTGCTTTTCCTGATTTAAACATAATGTTAGAGGAGAATTACTGGAGTTGTACAACTGAGACAGTACAGTTCAGCACAGAAGGCACTGAGATAGGCACAAAAACGTAATATGTGTACCTGTTTTTGAAAATACACTGAAGCTTTGCTCTGGAATTGCTGAAGGCTGGTCTTACCTTTCCTTTTTTGAGTACCACTAACTAGGAAATGTGGTGTGTAGTTATAAACACAGGCCTTTGTTTTTTGTGCCGCGAGGTGTATCAGACCTCCCTAAGGTTCGCTTGGCGCAGCCTTGAGTGTTGTACTGCCCGTGGCGTTTTTGGACATACATTAGTTGCTACAGAATGAAAGGGAGATACTTTTAAATGACTTTTCCTTTTGCTGGCTGGAGAGGGAGATGCATCTGTTATGACATGGCCAAGATTTTCTTAGTATTTCTTCATATCGTGTCTGGAGAGGTCATTTCTGTCTCTCTGTGCAAGAAGTAATTAGGAAAGTCCCTAGCTGGTAGCATGCATTCGATGCCCTGGAGGGTTCAGCATTTTCTTCAATGAACAGTTAAAAAAGAGTGAAAGTAGAGGCTGGCATTAGCAAAATTATGTTGCTTTGTTTTACGTTAAATGAGTTTTCCGTTCACACTTAACTACTGTGAATAAAAGGAAGTTGTAATGTTTCTGGAAGGCCATGATACATGATCTTGTTTTCTTTCTTTTTCTGAAAGTCTGTAAGCAAGGCAAATAAAAAATGAGGATCTCTGTTGTTAATTGTATAAATACAGCGCAAAATGCCTCCGTATTCATGCGTGGTTTGATTTCCTGTTAGGCTTGTGGATGTCTGGAAATGCTTGTCTGCCTTTGTTTAGTCATGTTACATATCTAATTAAGCGTACTGTTTGTCTTTATGGGTCATATGTATATTCCATTGCATTGATTGGGCTTAAGTAAACTCAAAGGTGTGAACTGAGGGATAAGAAAATGGCCACTCAACCTGTTACAGAAATACGTGAAAAGAGGCATAAAATAGAGGAGCGTATTTTATGTGGTGCATTAGTTACAGTATGTGGGAGGTTTTTAATCCATTTGTTTTGTGGCATAGTAGTAATCAAAACTGATATTTATATATCTCTCATATATATCTTTATTTTTAACTCACTTTAAATTTTTAAAAGACCGCCATATATGTGACACCACATAGTTCCTATTGCAGGTAAACATTCGTAAAGGATGACTTTGGCATGTATAATGACACTCAAAAGAAGTTGCCATGACATTTTTAAGGCTACAAGCTCCAATCCCAGAAGTTGCAAAATTCCAAAATTAAGGTATTCTGTGAAATCAGAGTTTGAGCCCTTTGGTACGTGTTCTGAAGACTTGTATCCATAACCAAACTTTTAAATTATGTTACCCTGTAATATTTTTCCCACGTGTCTCCTTCCTTTTTGTATTGATCAGGTTGAATGAGTTGTAGGGATGATACAGGATTATGTAGCAAGTGACTGTTGGATTTTTTCCTTCATTTGTAGCCAGCGAGGAAGCCTTACCTTGAATGGATCTAGGGATTTGGGAGAACAGAGAGATATTAATGGGGAAGATTTTCTTAAGACATGGCAAAAGACTATCCCTGATTCAAGACCTAAGCTCTGAGACATTTCAGGTTCCTACTGCAAAGTAATACAAATCCCACAGAAAAAAATTACTGTTGTTTATTTAACTCGAAAGAGGGTGAAGATTTCTCTTAAGACTTAACCAAAGACTTGCGCTCAAATTTTCTAATTTAATTCAACCTGAGGCAAGCACATGCATGGGGAATTTAAGTCCAGAGCATTAAATTGGTAAAATTAAACGCAATTGAAAGCGGGAAACTGGGTAGTGCTGCTGGGAATGGGTGCGAGAACAAAGCAAGAGATGTAGCAAAAAACAACGTTTATCAGTGCTAGCTTACTTAGAGGGATTCTGTCTGAAGCTATGCAAAATGATCTATTTCCAACAGGGAACAGCCTAAAATATGTTTTTTCAGATGTGGTCCTGGAAGGTAGAGAACTTAGATTCAGATTACTTTGGTCTCTCCGTTACTGGATGAATTAATCATTGAACGATCCTGCTTTGGTAGAGGAGGTTGGACTAGATGATCTTTCAAGGTCTCTTCCAACCCCTGACATTCTGTGATTCTGTGAAAATATTTTTTTATTTGGCTGTGTCCTTTTGAAGGAGAAATCCCCAATGTTTTTGAAAAGAGGCGATGTGGCAGTTTCGGCCCTAGAAGAAATCTGATGAACTGAGTCTCTTGATAGTAGGAGTTTATGCGTTTGCAATGCGGAAGTCAGATGCCTAAATCCGAGAAGAATGCAAGGGATTCTCCTTCTTGCTCACATTTCTGCAGCAGGCTGGGGCAGTTGATGTTCCATTGGTTAGCGGTGGCACCTTCCCAGGTATCTGCTTCCACCCATATATTAAGTCAGGGCACTTGCTGGCAACCTTTCAGAGACTCAGGAAGGGATAAAAAGCATTTACGAGTGCAGCACTGCCAACAGAAACTCAGCAGGAGCCAAGACGTGGTGTGGCGGAGATCCTTGCTCCCCCAACGTGGGAAACCGGTGGGAGATGAGCTGCCTGCATGGCCACGGCTTGTGCTCACAGCACGTATCCCACTCCCAGCT